AAGCAGATCTCTTTTCAATTCAACAACCATACACATTTTGTTTCAGAGTTTGGAATCTTTGAATCTCTCAAAAGGAAACTTTGAATCAAGATATCAGATGTGCATAGAAAATTATATATTTCTATACACTTGTATAATTCTATTCACAAGGGCAGCAGTGGTTCAAGCCTACCAGCCTCTCCAAGGGAGGAGAAGAAACGACCTACTCCAGTGGAAGTTGAGTCTCGAAAACCCATGGGGCAGTTCTACTCTATCCTGTCGGGTCACCGTGTGTCGGAATCAACTCGATGACAGTGTACTTGAAGTTCTTTATGCACATAAGTAAATATTTTTGGTCCGTTTGCCTAAAGGTCCTTTTGCCTATTATAGTCAAAATGCAAACATATCAGTCATTACCATGTGCTGCCGTGTATTAAAACTGAGCCATACATAGCTCAACACAGTTGCCAAAAACACAGTCACAAGGAAACAGCTCTCCAGTCCTTAAAGAATCACTTGAGCTAACCCTCAACTTCAGGATTGTAACTGCACAAAGACACACACACACACACACACACACACACGCACACACACACACACACACAGCCCCTCAACCGCTCTTAGTTCACCCAGAAACGGAAAGGCGTCCCACTGAGAATCACAGCTCCTAAGGCAATTGGAATACCTCTCAATCCAGATAGCCTTATTAGACTCCGTCCATTTGTTAAAAATGTAACATCTATCAACACCACCAACACCAGCTGGGTAATTAAATTCCTGGTTTGAAGAAGTTTCAAAGTTCAAGTCCAACATCAACAACACCTGCCAAGTTTCCATTTACTTAATACACATGATATTTGGTCAAGCTTACTGTGAAAATGCAAAGCCGTTTGGGAAGGGGACATATCAAGATTTTAAAATCCTATTAATTAGTGTACACTTTCAGTTAAAATCAGAGCTGCCTCTAGTTGTAATTACAATCTTCGCATCAGAAAGGCAAAACCCGACAAGAGTTACTGTGGACAATTAAATCTGTTCTGGGGCTAGGATTCTGATCAATACACACTTTGCATCATAATCGAAAGCTGAATGGCTGGGCTGCCTACCCCACCCCCACAGCCTGTGGTGGAGTCGGTGGTTTATTTCTGGTCCCTGGCCCTCGCTGGGTAAGTAACTCTTTGCTCTATAATTTGCCCATCTCCTGTCAGGGCGAAGGAGAGCCCGATTCAAACTGCCTGTGTTTCCCGCCCCCTCCCCCGGAGTTTTGTACACATTTCCCATCACCACGGCGCTTGGGAGCCGGTAGCCCTTGTACCTGCCAAGTTCCTCGCCGGTGTCGTAGTAATCATCCACGTTTTCCTGCCTGAACACCGTCATGATCAACTGTCACGCCTCACAGAAGCCCTGTGCACTTGTGCTCCGCTCCCGAACCATCACCACCACTCGTGCGCCGCCGCGGGCCCCTCATGCATCTGGTCCTTAAAAGGATAATAATAATAATAAGGCATCAGTCTCCGACCCTTAAAATACTACTAATAACATGGCAACCCAAAAGGAAGTCGCCCTCCCCAGGGCTAAGACTGCCTTAGAAGACCGCGTCGCCCGCGGACGGTGCCTAGGAGACCCTGAGCTGCCCCTCCCCGCCGGGTGGAGAGGCGCACCCTTTGTTAAACCCCAGCCGGGGCCGCCCCCAGC